GTTTTTCTTGGCTTTTCTGGCAAAGTTTAACTTGGATTTTAAGTGATTTGAAAATATCCATTCTACACTGATTGTACTGCATGCCAGCCACATTGTTTCCAGGCTGAATCACTTGCACATCTCAACACTTACAACTTGTCCGAGACTTGCATGTGTATCAGTGCAGGTGCTGTGTATTACATGTGGGGTCAAACCCATGACCTTGCAGTGCTGAAACATCATCCAGTCAAAGACACCTCCCACAGTGGTGGCAGAATCAGCCCACCAGGGGTTAACTTTTAAACCCAAAACAGTGTCCCCTCCATCATAACAACCATTTTTGTGGACATGGAAAGAATCTGGCTCTTCTTTCACCATCTGTGTTTTTATTTCTTTCATTCCAAATTTGATTAGGTCTCACCTGCAGAGTACATCACAGTCTTCTTGGACACTGAGATTTTAAAGTCCCAGCAAGATGTCCCAGTTGGAATGAATAGCTTTTACATCTGGTTCTAATACCTCTGGCACTTCTGTATCACACCACAACAACTTCCAATCTTCAAAAGGCTTTTCCCAGAAAAAGTGGCATTGAGAGCAGTAAACGCTCTCAGATTGTACTGCTACAGAGTTTCACGCATAAAAGTATCACCTATTCTTCAATGCAACAAAACTGAAAGAAAAACGAAACACACGGGGAAGTGCCTCCGACTCTGGTTTCTCTGGTTTAAACATCCTCGGAGGCCAGTCCTGAAAATGTTTCAGTTTTTCTTCAGACTAAAGTTTTAAAAACAGAAGTGTTGCTCTCCAACTGGCAGCAACCCAAGGTTGCCTCCTTTGTCAACTCATTGCCTCCCATCATTGATAAACAGCTCTGATGCTGAACAGACACACGCAGCTGTTTGTGGCAGTGTGCAAAGGGCGTTGTTTAGAGCTGAACTGCAAACACTGTTTCTGACTGTCCACTAAAGCTTTAGATATGCACTAAATCATGATTTTATTTCCAAAGACAATAAGACAACCAAGACATTGGTGATTTAAAGCAGGATGGAGTCTTTATGCAACATTTTGACTGCAGACCCTAATAAAATCATCCCCAAAGGTCACATCTCTGAAAAGACCCAAACGCTGCTTTGTGATGTTTTTGGAAACTGATGTTAAAATATATAATTGTGGCTGCACAGATAAACTGGGGGGCGTTGGGTAAATATTTGCTCTCAGACAGGGTAAAGATTTAGAACAGACTACAGACATGCACACAAATGTGGCTCAGACAGCCGCTCAGAGAATACAAAGATTACAAGACAGAAAAGGAAAAACATTATTTCATCAATCTGTTTCAGCATATTTATTAGTGAAGACTAAGTAATGGGCAAAAATTCAGGTTTGAGAAGTTGGAACCACAAGATTCAGTTGTGTGTGTGTGATTATTGAAAGGTTTTTGTAAACAGCAATCTGATTGGTCTTTCCAGATCTCAACAAGCAGAGAACCTTCATGAGATCATTAGAAAGACTGCGTATTTAAGGCAACAAGATCCTGTGTTGAATGTCACTGCATTTTTGTGCTACTCTGCATTTAAATACTAGTATATATTAATGTCTGGCTCTCTTCCACAGCATCTTTGTCAAGTCTTCCTCACACACAACCAGTTGAGACGGATGGATGCCCCTCCCAATCCTAGTTCTTCTGGAGGTTTCTTCCTGTTAAAAGGGAGCTTTTCCTTCCCACTGTTGCCAATACCTTGCTCATAGTGTCACGGACTGCGATGGCAGACCGTGGGGATGTGGGGAAGTAGGACCCAAACAGACTTTGTGTGATGAAAGCTGTGAGTTTATTTACAGTGAAGTAAATTATATACAACAACAATAAATCCCCGTGCTTCCCCGACTCTCGTGCCGTGTCTTCTCCCTAGTGACCGTTCACCCCGTGCTCGCTACCCTCTCATTTTCGCAGTCCTCCTGAGATAAATCACAGAAGCAGACGTACGAACACTCTCACAGCGACAAGCTTACACTCAGACTGACTTGCCGGGAAACTGACGGGAACTCTCACGCAACGATCCAGCGTCCAGGGGAGCTGAGCCACACTGCTAAGTAGCTCCCCCCGATGAGGCTGACCAGCTGAAAGTGTGTGTCATCATCCTTGGGTGTGGCCAGCCACCTGGAAGGGTACACTCGCCGGGCCTGATGGTGCTTGTAAACCGGCCTACCGGATACACCAGCACGCACACCTGCAGCAGGGACACGGGGACATCAGCACAATACGCACACACCTGCCATCAAAAATATAAACAAGTCCAAAAAACACATGAGCTCTGGGTTCCCAGACTCAGGCCCATGACACATAGTGTTTTGATTGTTGGGGTTTTCTTTGTATTGTTTTGTATATTGTAAGGTAAAAACCCTACAATATAAGGTGCTTAAGGTGACTATTGTTGTGATTTTGTACTAAATAAATAAAACTGATTTGAACTGAATTAAATGTCTTGCACGAATGAAAGTGTGACAGTTTTTAATGACAGATGGATGCTGACACAGCAGGCTACAGCTGGTAGTTCTCTGCTAGGTTGTGACTCAGGATGTACAGCAGGTTATCTATTTATTGGAAGGTTAATAGTTTGATTTCCAGCTCATCTAGTCTGCATGCTGATTTTTCTGTTTTGTGCCCTGCTTTTAAGCTATGGAGTCTTGTTTATGTTCCTTATAGTTCAAGTTGTTTTTGAAATTTCAAGTTATTTCTCATATGTTTGAGTTAATAAATCAAAATGGATTGGTAAATATGTGGAGTACACATGCTTGTTTCCACAACAGCAAGAACATAAAATATATATAGATATAATCTTTATTTTTTATTTTTGCAGTTATGGAAACAAGCTTCCACAGTAATCTTAACAAGTCTTTTGTTGTGATTTTTTTAATAGACTATGGCACTCAGACTCCTTTCACTGCCTTTTTATAGAATCTGGCTCACTCTATACTCACTCTATAGAAGTAATCCTACTTACTTTCAGAAGAGATGTTTGTTGCCTAAGTACCTCTTAAGCTTTTGACACGGTGTTGGCATTAACACAAAACAATCCAGCTGAAGCCAAAAGGCAGGTAGACTTTTGCAGGAGCTCCTATTGACAGCCTTCTTTTTAAAAAAATCTTTCGGAGATGAGTCACCAGTCCACCAGTGGTTTTTGTGGTTTGCTGCACACGGCAAAATAATGTGTTCTGATCATCAATCTCCCCGTTGCTGTCAAAATGTTTTTTTTAATCACAGGATCTTCATAACAAAAGACCAGGGCACACCTTTCCTCACAGCACACCATTTGTGATCCACTTTTGATGAGTTGAAATGTGTTGTTTTAGTTGTACTTTACACACAGTCAAAGCACACACAGGTAAAAATGCACAGGCCAAAAAGTGTGTTTTATGTTACTTTGAAATTATATTAAAAATACAATTTTTGATATAATTTTAAGCTATTTAAAGACATGAATCGCATCACACCAAAAGTCAATTAAAAACAGCATTACTCAAACTCACTCTTCCACCAGTAGACAGGATATTTAAAATGCATAGTGGAGGAACAATAACCAAACCCAGTGCAACACACTTCAATCTGTGACAGGTGGTTTAAATCAACTTTGCAAATTCACATCTGAACTTTAAGCAGCTTCGCCTACCGCCTCCTCCTCATCAAACCAGGAACAACCAAACCAGCAGGCAGCTAACACAGAGAAATAATAAGAAACGCAACTTAAACTACATAACAAGATAATGTCAACTAACATTTACAATACAGTGGAATATAATAAAATAAAGAATTATTATTAATGTCTGATTTATTTATTGATTGTAGGATGACAATGCTAATAATAATAATTATTGTTGTTGTTATTATTACCTCATGTGTTATTATGTTGTCATGTTGCTTCAGTTGTGTGGATGTGGATTCAGCTGTAGCCAACACCATTAAACAGCTGTCTGTGTCGGTGTGCAGTGCACGCCATACCGTTTGTTGATATGTCCAAAAACTTTTTATTTATTTATTTATGGCCTTCAGCATTGTATTGGCAGGTGTCCTGGTCCTCTAGATCAGCGGTCTCCAACCTTTTTTGCGCCATGGACCGGTTTATGCCCGACAATATTTTCACGGACCGACCTTTAAGGTGTCGCGGATAAATACAACAAAATGAAACTAGTACCGGTACCGAAAAAGAAGATTTATTCATAACACACGTGAAAAGACCCAGGAAAACCGAGTTAACGATAAAAACGATAACAAAATAACACTGAAAACCCTGAAAACCATACATTTCACACCTGAGCCTCAACTCTCGCGGCCCAGTACCAAACGACTCACGGACCGGTACCGGTCCGAGGCCCGGGGGTTGGGGACCGCTGCTCTAGGTGAAACAGGAAGCTACTTACATGTACCAGCCACAGGTTGGGTTATCTATCATCTGTCACCTTGTATAGCATACTGAAGGACATCAGTGTAAACATCTTGTATTCTTCTGTTACATCATTAGACACAGTATTCAATTCACATTTTATTTATACAGCCCCAAAATCACAACAACATAAAGGCCCTACAATAATGTAAAGAAAACAGAGAAAACCCCTACGATCATTTGAGCAAAGCTTTGGCAATGGTGGATTGGAAAAACTCACTTTTAACAGGAAGAAACCTCCAGCAGTACCACACTCAGGAAGGAGCGTCCATCTACCACGACTGGTTAGGATTAAGGGAGGAAGACAAAAACATGCTGTGGAAGAGAGCCAGAGATTAATAATAACTAATGATTAAATGCAGAGGTGTATAAACACATAGTGAGTGAAAAAAGGTGACTGAAGAAGAATGCATCATGGGAGTCCCCCAGGAGCCTAGACCTGCACACATAGGGACACCACAGATCATTAAAAATGATGTGGGCGTGTGTGAATGTTAAAAGGTAGATTTTTTTAAAAATCAGTAAGAAACAGTAAATTTAAGGAAATAATGAACCCTTGAAGTTGAAGTTAGTCTCTCTGTTTTAGTTTGTGTTTTTGAAACATTTGGCAGCAGAGTCCGCGCTGAAACTGAAAGAACAGTGCATGGGAGAGAGAGCGAGAGAGAGAGCGAATTCCTCCACAGCTCCAGGGTGATGAAGAGGTTAAACCAGCCCCTCTCCGCTGTGCTCTCTGCCTCCTTTTGCGGCTCCAGTCCCGCTTTAAACGGCAGCTGAGCGCTGAGCGGACATGGACACATCCGAACTTTAACTTTCAGGTCTTTCTCCTCTCTTGCCCGCGCTCCTCTCCTCTCTTGTCCTCCCTTTCCGTCTCCCGCTGGGCTGAGCTCCGAGTGAGAAGCTGCGCTGGCAGCTGCCGTCTCATGGAAATCTAATTTTGCTCTAATTTTCGGTCAGTCGCTCAGGTCTGTGGAGGCTATTGTCGTTTCGCTGCTCCCTTGGTTTTAATGGTTCACTCATGCGTCGGGAATGCCATGGCCACTCCGAGCGCACAGCAACAGGATTATTTCAGATCGGTGAGCAGCGAATCAACCACCTACATGATGGTCCCGGCAGGCGGGCCGACCGCGGCAGCGCGCCGGGAAACGCCGTCCAAGATGTGGGTGGCTATGGTGGTGATAGTGGTGGTAGTGTTGCAGATTGCTTCGACCACGGGACTCTTTGTCTACCTGAATATGTCGATATCACAGGTGAGAGCTGGTTTCCACTCACTTTAACCTTTTCCCCCTCTTTTGTTTGTTTGTATTTGGAGCCACATGTGGTTCCTGTGTTGGCCCGATTTACCAGAAAGCCTCTCGTGAGAGGTCCTCGCTGGGCTCGGAACTTCCAAGAAACAGATCCAATGTGCGTTCAAATTCACAGCTCAGCGTCACATGCACACTCTGAATATTGTTGCAAGGCTGAAAGAAAACATACACAAACACACACACACCAAAATCTGTGCACAGTATTTGGAGTATTGCAAAATAAATAAGTAAATAATAATAACAGTCACAAAAAGTCGAGGGAAACAAGGCATTTGACAGCAGAGCTGCTGCAGGTGATTAAGAAATGTTATAGGAGCATTGCTGCTGGTTTATTTATTTATTTATGTATTTGTTTATTATAGAGTTAAGCGGGTTTACACATTTTTTTCTTCATTTATTTCTGGAATGAGGTTTATGAGTAAAGTTCGCCCCGGGAGTTTGACTTGCCGGGCGCTCGGAAGGCAGATTTGCCTGATCGGACTTGTTAAACAACGGAACGCGGAATTTACAAGCAGTCAAGGTAGACGGAAATACACGAGCTTACCCGCGTGTGTAAAAAAAACCCAACAAAAACAAAACACACACACACATTGGAGGCATTTGGTTAGGGCGGCAAGTGGAGAGAAGCTGTAGGGCAAGAATGTGTGCAGAAATATGGACGTCGCTGGTGCATGTGTGGATGTGGGCTCCTCTTCCACTGGGTTCGGTTTTATTTACGCGTCTAGTAATCAATAAAACGCTACTGCAGCGACTTGTTCTGTTTCACATGTGCTCCTTAGAGGAACACAAGTGGCGTCAGTGAGCTGCTGCTCATTTAGTCCCAGCAGGGGAAAGTACACGATGACAATCAGAGTCATTGCTGATGGTGCTTGAGTGTAGGAGGGGGCATAAAATACGGGAGAGATAGGCTTATCAGTCAGAACTGCTAGTTACACAGCAGAAGTTTATTTTTGGCATTAAGGAAATGTGTTGAGAAGCGTTGCCTGTGATTTCTGATACACTGCAGTGGGAGGTGCACATATATTGGTCTGCAGGGATGAAGGAAACTGATGTATGATCCTGATGGTGCATGAAATCTGCTACAGTGGTGCGCTGTGTCTATCTCTATATGAGATCAACAGCTGTAAGCGTGTGACGCATAGAAGACGAAAAATGACATTTTGCATTGGATACGCTTCATGGCCACTTTTTTCAATCATGATATTGCAGGTTTGCATTCAAAGTGACAAAGAGAGTCAGAGAAGTTTGGCAGGACTGAAATGGTCCTATCTGTGGTTCAAAGATGACATCATGTGAAAACATAAAACCATTATAAAACCATGTATTTTATTGTTTGTCCCCATCAAGTCAGAGAGTCCAGCTTTTATTTCATTTTAGTGAAAAGTTTAATACCAGTCGCGAATAAAAGTGGATGTAGAGACGTTAAAAAGACAAGGATACCCCGTAGTGATGGGGCAAGGTACTCACTTGAAACACATGACATTGTCTTAAGATTAGCAACGGGACCTATACACTATTAGATAGGTGGTTTTAATGCTGTGACCTGATCTGTGCTTATCCAACTTAGACTCACTTGGCATAAAAGTAACAATCCTGTATCAGAAATTGAGCAATTTACCATAATCAGGATTTATTGACTTTTAATGTCAATATAGAGATTCTTGTTATGGGTTTAAAAGGTTATTTTATAAGCAGTTCACTTGATTTTAGTCTTTCTGGAGTTTTTTCTTTTAAACTTTTTTTGTTTGACATGTCAGAGGTAGCAGGAAATCGCACAAGGAATAGTTTAGAGATGATACTGGACAGAGACTAAATGAATTGCATGTGGGGAATCCCCCGGTTCTCATGCGAAGGCCAGCTATTCTGGAAACAGGCCCTTCTTTGAATTGCAACAGAGTTACACCCCATGCCTGTGCTGGTTGTTTTAAGACAAAAGATGTTTGCAACAATAACCATCGTACAAAGAGGAATTCTCCGGCACTGCCTCACATCTGTGGCATTCACATACAAGCAAACAGACACATGTAAACACCGAAGCTTCTGAACTCATGGGTGTGTCGCGCGCCCGCGCTTCGTTTTGTGTCCTTTGCTGCTGGATCAAGCACGCTTAGCAAAACAGTGAATCGCATCAGGCATAAATATACATGTTCTCTGAATGTTGGAAGTGTTACTTTGAAATAAGCAGCATTTCTTAGAAGGAGAAACTCTTTTAGCAGAGTCACATCCTAAAGAGTTAACATGTAAAGACATAAACACTAAATTAAAGCCTGTTCAGTGATTGGTTAGAATGCCACAGTACTCGTCTGGGCCGATACATCATTCAAACCTCAATATTGGCCAGTATCGGTCTCGATGAGTAATATCAGTCAATCACCATTTACCAGTGACAGTGGACAATGACAGTGGCTTGCTAAATGTCCAGAGGTGGTGTGATAAAGAGCTTAAAGAACTTAAAACATTTTAGATATTTAGTTCTAATGAACATTTCTTTGATTACCAAATGCTGGGATTAAATAAATAAGACCAAATGTCTTTTATCAGAATTTTCTCAGTTTATGCGACTTTGGTTTTTAACAACCTATTAGTGTGTTAATCAAGAAAAAATTTGCATATTATTTGAGAAACTGGCTTTTAAGCCATTGTTTGTATTTGTCGGTGTTGTGGTTGGTTAGGTCCTGGTAAGGTAAGTAAGGCAGCACGGTGGTTAGCACTGTCGCCGCACAGCAAGAAGGTCCTGAGTTCAATTCCAAAAGCCGTAAGAGTCCAGCAGACATAGCTGTATCTGCATTTATAACTGTTAATAAATGAATATTTAAAACGGTAATAAAGAAATAGAAGAGGCATCCCTTCAACCATAGTATGTCCACCAGAGGGCCCTTTGTAACTTCATTGTTTACAATATGTTTGAAATGTATGTATGAAATTTATGTAAATCTGTTTGTTTCATGTATCGGAAAGAAAAAAAAATTGCTAATATATCTGATTTTTAACTCACCAAATATCAGTATCACTTTTAGAATTCCTATATCGGTCAGGCTCTAGTCCGAGGGTTGACTCCACCAGCCCGCTGGGCCCTTCCTGTGTGGAATTGGACCTGTGTCTGGAGTCCAAAGGACATGCTTGTTAGAGAGCCTGATAATGTGGAATTGCCCATAGGTGTGAATGTTTACCAGTTTCTCCATGATAGCCTTATGATAGACTGGCAGCCTGTCCACGGTGTACCACACCTCTCACCCTATGACAGCTGGGATAAACGACAGCTCCTTATGACTGTGAGTGGGATAAATAGGAGAAAATAGATGGATTGATGGGTGGCTAACTGAGCTTCACCTGCTCTACAAATTACATTAACCTCCTAAGACCCGAACTCTTCCACAGCATGCATTTTTAATTTCTCTTTGATATTTGGGCATATTGGGGCCCGATGAATGTAAAAACAAAGAATTACCAGATTTTTTTTTACCCTATTTTTGTTTTTAGGAAAAATAAGAGCCACGTATTAGGATATTCATTTAAAATTTTGAAAGAACAGTAGCAGTATAATGTCCTCATAAGTGGATATCAGGCCCACTTATGAGCAAAATTTAGTATTTTGGTCTAAATAACCCAAAATGTGATGTCCACATATGTGGACGCCAGGTCCTAGGAGGTTACATACATTTTTTAACAGCAAAATCATCTGTGTTTCATCCAGTCAAGAGATAAAAGTTAGCGATCATGATGACGTATTGAAGACTTGGTTCTAAAGAATTTCACAAAAACTACTAGTGGGTTCTTCTTAAAATGAGGAAATTACTTTTTTGTACAACAAGTAATTTGTCATATATATTGGATATCTTTTAATGACTTTCTGAAGTTAAAATCTTCACTTCTGAGAAAGAGGTAGAGATTAGATTAAGCTGTGCTTGCTACGATGCAGTGAATTACAAGTCTCATATTTTTGTAAGGAAACTTCTTTTATCACACACAAGCCTCCAGATCCGTATCCTGTAAGACTGTGGGTTCTCATGCCATTTCTGTAAATTTGTGTGAAATTTGGGGCTTTTTGGCGTTATCTGTGCTTTTGTGTTTGACTGACTGGCATTCCATTCCTTAAACTTCACTGGTCCACTTTATTATTGTTTGGGTTCACTGATAGGGTCTGACTCACCCTTACATGCAACAATAGAGCCGGTGTGTGTGTGTCTGTGAGTGTGTGTGTGTGTGTGGCCAGATTTACACAGATGTCGTTTTTACTTATTGTGGACGGTTGTTAGGGTGTGTGTGTGTGTGGCCTGTTCACCCCCAAAGATCAGCACTTTTTGTAATCTGTATTTGTGCGATTTAAGCGTGTCTTTTTATGTATGTGTTCTCATGATTTTATCTGTGTTATGAACAGATGGGTTCCAAGCTCAGGAAGAAAGAATCTTCAAAATACTGAAAAATCCACGGCCTACAGCGTACCCTTCACAGTTTTGGTTTCAGGTGTAGAATTACTTTACATTTTTGATTAGAGATTAGTGTTAGGTTACTTTATAGGTTAAAGGTCAAAGCAGAAGCCAAGCCAAGAAGCTGGCTTCTGAGCTGAGCTGTTTGACATCTTGAAGTCACAATGCAAACAAACACCCGCTCAGATGTTTTTGAGGGAACGGCTAAATTTAAAAGCAATCTCTTCATTTTTGTTCTTAGATCGACTTGTTTGAGATATTCAGCATGGGAAAACGTAATAAAACTGCAGGTGGTGGACATATTTACAGGAAGTTAATCAGAAACCGTAGTGCTCCACACATTTATTAGACCACCACCCAGTGTAAGAGTGGTGCCCTAAATGAACACTGTTGCTAATTACTAAAGGTCTTTTTTTTTTAATTCACCAGTATTCACAAACTTTGGAATCAAAATTCACATTTTTAATGCAAAAATATAAGTATTTTTGTTTTCCGCAAATGTTCAAATTTACTGTT